TGGTCCCAGGGACATGCCCCCATTTCCACAAGATGAAATGGGCCCACATATGGGTGTGCCAGGGGGCTGTGGAGATGGAGATCAGATGACACCAGAGCAGGTGGCTTGGTTGAAGTTACAACAAGAATTTTATGAGGAGAAAAGAAAGAAGCAAGAAATGCAACTCCGACCACTGCCACCAGACATGATGATGCATCCACATGGTCCACGAGGCATGATTCGTGGGCCTCCTCCTCCTTATCAGATGGGTCCAGGAGAGATGTGGGGAGGGCCTGGTGGCCCACCAGAGCACTATCCAGATCGCATGAGCATGGGCCCTGGTCCTGGTCCAAGAGGCATGCCACCACATATGCAGAGGATGCCTGGCTTTTCTGGTATGATGAACCCTGAGATGGAGGGACCCCCAAGGCCTGGGATGGGCTGGCCTGACGACATGCCTCCTAGAATGGGAGATGGAAGAGGATTCCCTGGAGGACCTGGGGGAATGTTTGCCGGTCCAGGGGGTCGTGGTGAGCGTTTCCCAAATCCTCAGTCTGTACAAGAAGCAATGTTTCACCAAGGAATGAGTGGCGATAAAGGCCTCCCTCCTGGAATGATGATGGATATGCAAAGAATGATGGGACATCAAAGAGAACCTGGTAATGGAATGGGTATGTTTCCAAGAATGCCCAGTGATGGTCCTATGAGTCCATCATCTAGGTTACAGGGAATGGGGGGCAGGGATATGGGGCCTGAGTTTGGCATGGGTCCTGGTCCTGGTCCAGGACCTCATATGCATCCTTCAAAACTTCGGGATCCTCCCATGAATATGAGTCCAGATGAAATGATGAGAATACGAGCAGGTGGAGCACCTCAAATGGAAAACATGGGTCCACAAGGCCGACCCATGCAAGGCCCTGTCTTCCCTGAGCAGACACAGCCTGGAGATTTTCCTATGGGGCCGGGGCGACCATTCCCAGGTGTTCCTGGAGGAATGAGGGGTCCACATGCAGACCAAGCCTTCGGCCCAGAGCACAGATCGACGCCTACAGGAGGTAATGGCCGTATTAACCACCTCCCTACTGCCGGTGGTCCGTCCCAAACTCAGAGGGGCCGCAAGCCAACAGATTTGAATGTGCAAGCGGGTGGTGGGAACTCCCCCAGTTTAAACCCACTGAAGTCTCCGCCCTTAAGGCAAGTGCAGTCCCCAATGATGGGATCTCCCTCGGGAAATCTTAAGTCACCTCAGACGCCGTCCCAGCTGGCAGGCATGCTTACTGGTCCTACTGTACCAAATGCTCCTCCAGCTCCCCCAGCTTCAGCGCCAATGAAGTCACCGCACTCCATGATGGGATCAGCAGGTGCCTCTCCTGTTCACATGAGGTCTCCATCTCTTCAAAACCCCTCCCCCGGATGGGCACCTTCACCAAAACCACCCATGCCAAGTCCAGGTGTACAACCTCAGGGGGGCAAACCACCCCTCAGTATCACCTCACCAAACATGATGGGAAATTTGGAGCAAGGTACATTTTCAACTAATCAGAGAATTCCACTTGCTCTCATAAGCATTTTTGTCATTTTGTTTATTTCAGCCTTTTCATTTATGGGTTATGCTGGTTTAAAACTAATTTTGGAAATATTACAGAAGATTGTGCATGTGTATATTTTGTCAAAATAATTGCTGAGTTATTAAAATATTAAAAGGAGATTTTAGGACTACAAGCTTATAGTAACATAGTTACTGTTAAGACAGGCTTAGCGCCCATTTGTCTGGATGTGGGTGCGGTTGAGTACGTTGTGTTCCAGTGGCTCCATCTCATGGTGGCTGGGCCATAACCCAACATATGATTACATCAATATAACAAATCCAAAAACATCAGGCAAACAGAATGTTAGATAGAGAAAATGCATCACTTTGAAAGTCAACCATTGCCCTTTCTGAGGATGCTTCTTATCACACTGTTCTCCAGGTGGTAATGGTCCTCCCTCTGCCCCTCCTTCATCAGGGGCACCATCTGGTTCCATGTCCCTTCCAGGCAACGTCCCCTCTGGCAGTCCATACACCATACCACCTGAGCCAACACTGTCCCAGAATCCTCTATCCATCATGATGTCACGCATGTCAAAGTTTGCAATGCCCAGCTCAACCCCACTCTACCATGATGCCATAAAGACAGTTGCCAGCTCTGATGACGACTCGCCTCCTGCCCGCTCCCCTAACCTGCCTTCAGCAAACAATAATGGTAAGCAAATCAAATGTAATTACGTACTTCAATTTGTTGGTAAAGCTTTAACTGTTGGACCTGTTTTAATGTGCTCTGAAAAAAGTGTTTTAATGATGCACAACATAATTGGATCTTTTCTTTGTCCTTTTCAGGTATGTCGATGAACCACCAAGGCAATCCGCGAATGATGGGACCTGGAAACACAGGACCTATGCCTGCCCTTAGTCCTCTGGGTATGAATCCAATGGGATCACAACCTCTTTCCCATGGTATGCCTCCACAGATGCCCTCTCCTAATGCTCCTAATATGGGCCCAGGCATGATGCCTCATGGCATGATGATGCCACCAAATCAAGATCCTGGCATGGCAAACCCTCAGATGATGCCCCAGGGACGCATGGGTTACCCTCATAGAAGCCAGGGATACCCACTTACCCAGTCCCCTTCCCAGCAAGGTCCCTTTTCTCCACACAATGGTCCTGGTCCTCAAGGATTCCCTGGCCATCCCATGGGCTTCCAAGGAGAAGGTGGGCCTATGGGAGGCCGCATGGGAAACATGCCTCATGGGGGAGCAGGTGATGGTGGTATGTGCAAGCCTAACACCCCTGGTGGGCCAGAGTTCAACAACATGCAAGGTGGATTTAGCGATGCAGATCTTCATGAAGTAATGAGGCCGGGAG